TCTTTCTACTAAAAGGGAAAATGCTAGACTGGGCGATGAAGGTGAAAATGCCATTTAATTCCACATCAGATCACAGGCCTGTGATAACCACTTTGGTCCCTGACAAGAATGTCACAAGGGGCAAAGGGCTGTCTCTTATACACATCTAGATGTGTATAAGAGACAGCTCCAACCCCCTTCGCTCTGCCCGATCCACTTGTAATTTCTCATTGAAGTTGAGCAAAGAAGCCGTATTTACACTCTTTCCGCATGCAGAAACCTTTTCTTCTGTTGCCCAGCTGTGGCGCCATTTGTGCATGAGCATCAAGTCAACACCGTCCTTTCTTAACGAACTCCGATAACTCCGATGGCTGTTGCTGCGAGCAGCAGTCCATCGCCCTCTCTATGCGAGTTGCATCACACAGCAGTGACAGCACAAAGCACTCTCAACCGTTTCAGCCCTCTCTATGTACAAAACACGCCATAGCCTCGCGCTTGGTGAAGTAGAAGACAACCTTTCCTCTCCTTGGTCTCCTAGTGTCACTGTTTGGACGTCGTACTCTGCTGGATCCATCTGATTGAACTGATTCCAATAGGACTTGAACCCACGACCTGTTCTTCAAAAGGTACAATGTCATATGCATGCTGCTCAGTGACGTGGACTGGGAGGCCGTATCACTCACGCTCAGACGGCTGTTCGCCTCCCAGCCCACGTGGGTATTTATCCAGAGCACGTGGCTGACTTGCATGCACGCTTTTTCCCCCTAAGTTCGCCCTCGTAGAGCCCACGTGTCGTCCCTCTCCAAGACCACGTGTCCGTCGTGTCGTGCCTGTCAAAACCGACCAGGTCCTGTGTCACTGAAATCCAACCTGCCCTTTCGCCCACGATCAACCTGATGTGCAGGCCATGCACCTGGCCTCACCCTGAGGGCAGGCACAGTGTCGCACAAAACCGGCCTGTGACAGTGTCGCACAAAACCAGCCTCGACACATTGATCCAAAGGGTATGATAGCCAGGTGCAGGCCATGCACCTGGCCTCACCTTGACGGCAGGTACAATTTCAGTGCCAGAACTAGCAGCAACATGTCAAACCGGTCATGCGGCTGAAACCCATCACCTGCTTTGGAGCGCTCAAAACCGACACAGCTCTGTGTCCCAAACCGGGTCCCAAAACCGACACAGCTCCGCGTCCCAAACCGGGTCCCAAAACCGGCACAGCTCCGTGTCCCAAAACCGACACAGCTCCACGTCCCAAACCGGGTCCCAAAACCGACACAGCTCCATGTCCCAAAACCGACACATCTCCGTGTCCCAAAACCGACACAGCTCTGTGTCCCAAACCGGGTCCCAAAACCGACACAGCTCTGTGTCCCAAACCGGGTCCCAAAACCGACACAGCTCCCTGTCCCAAACCGG